CCCCTAAAGTTCTTCTCTAATATAGCCGAAATCGTCTCGAGTTGCTGGTTCGCCCGAGCGCAAAAGGCCTCCAGTGCAAAGGGTTAAAAAATAGAGAATAGAACAGTGACGCTAATTTTTCTATGCGAATTAATAATTTAAATGCGAATAGTAAAGCGCTACAAAGTGCGGGCCGATATATCGGCCTCCGGCACTAAAAGGGTTAACTATAGGAAAAGAAACACGATCTTTTCTGTGGATCCTGTCGTCAATGGATTTACACTCGACCTGTCGACACTCGATTATTCAGTAAATCCCATTTTGCGCTCGTACTGGTTTAATTAAAAATATGCCCGACGTTCTTTGTTTAAAATATCAATCGCGTCGATCGACGGTTCATTTGAACCTCGTACCTTTTTTCGTCGTTTTACACCTCGATTTGCCCGTCAAAAACGCGGGCACGTGATCGGGACGTAAATGACGCGGATCACGACGATTAAAATCCGTTACAGGAAAAGGGGGCTAAAAAAGGGCAGTTAAAAGAGCGATTAAAACCTGTCATGTCGCGACCGCCGCTTTAATCGCTCGGTATATTTTTATCGACGGTGCGTGTAATTTTCATGGGATCCGTCGGTGGTACCTGGCCGGTGGAGCGTGAAATTCGGTGGTACAAAACGCGAACGTCCTGGCGCATGAGATATCGCACCGTAAAGGATTAATTGCGGCTGTCTAGATCGATGCCAATTTATCTTGACAATTAATTTATCTTGCCACTCGATACGGAATGACATTATGACCCACTGGTTATGAAAATGATTTACCTAATGGAAATATTTCGTTAATAATAGTTCCGGTCTATTCGCTAGAGAATTCACAGAATTTCGAGCTGCGACAGTCACTTTCAATCATCTTCATATCTGTTTCCGGAGTATTTTTAGTATCTAAATTTAATATCGAGATTGGAAAAGAATTAAAACAGAAACTCCCTTCATCTTGTCTCCAGTTAAGGTCGTATGAATTAGTTTAAGAAATCTGATAAAAAGCTGTGTTCAATATTTGAACCAATGAACTCATAGAAAGAATGATAATTAGGAACTATTTTAGATAGATGGAAATAAGAATTGAAGTAGAGGAACTTCCTTCATCTAGTCTCCAGTTAAGGTCGTATGAATTAGTTTAAGAAATCTGATAAAAAGCTGTGTTCAATATTTGAACCAATGAACTCATAGAAAAAATGATAATTAGGAACTAGATGGATGGAAATAAGAATCGAAGTAGAGGAACTCCCTTAATTTTGTCTCCAGTTAAGGTTGTATGAGTTAGTTTAAGACATGTGATAAAAATCTGTGTTCAATATTTGAAGCAATGAAATTATAAAAAAAAAATAATAATTAGAAACTAGATAGATAGAAATAAGAATCTAAGTAGAGGAACTCCCTTCATCTTGCAAAATCACGTGTGTTCGTCGACATACTGATAAGATGACAAAAAGAGAGAGGGGTGATAAGAAAGAGCGAAGGAAGAGTATTTTCGACTGGATATCTTGCGGTTAAAACGCTATGAGATCCATTAATCATACGCGTTTCCTAATTACAGTTGCCGATCGTACGAGATTAGCCGGAAGAAAGGCATCAGGGAGATGTACGTGACTTTCTTATCGTCCCTAATTATTCACTCGATAATAATGTATCCGACCATCATGCAATTGATCGGGTTGAAAATGACCGAATTTCCAGCTCGCTAAGTTATTGGCAATTACGCGTGCCCATTAACGCGATTACCTAATTACCAAAGATCGGCTCCAGGAGTTTCGAGAAACCATTCTTCTCGCTTCTTCACACCACTGATGAATTACGGTTCAAACAGTAGAGTTACCTGTTCTATCGTTGCCGAATCGATCGAGCCGAAAATCCGTTTTGCTGATTCATCGGCAATTACGTTTGCCCATTAATGCGATTACCGTTCTGTACGCGTGTGCCACATTTTTCGCATTGAACTCGCGAACTCGTCGCGAGAAATTCCGCAATTCTGGCTAACGTCCGGGCGAACAAAATTTCTAACGGCGGCGCGGCCTTCGTCGGGTTAAGAACCTCGCCCGAAACGAAGTTCCATTGCCCCGTGAAAAGTGTTCGTCGAGCCGGTCGAGGCCGTAAGAGTTCCTAAGTCCGTTGGCCTTCGATCAGGTTACGAACCCACTTTCCTATCCCGCTCGTGTGTGACCGTCTTCCGCATACGTAATTCGCAGATAAGGACGGGAGCACGCGACACGCTCGTTCCGACTCGGTATCTTTAATTTCGTTCTACGATCTGGTCCCGACCCCGGATCGTTTTCATCGCGTAAACGCGAAATCCACGCGCGTTTTATTCCGCCGATGTTTCAAGGCGGATGAGTTTAAATCAGAATTCGATTCGTTTTAAGGAGCACTCGCGCGTGACCCGGCCGTTGGAACGGCTGGTGCATCGCCGCGTTCGGTAATGAATGACTCTGAAAATCCCGCGTTAACCCTGTCATCTCGCGTAGCTGCAATTTACGCTCGGCTCTCTGTCCTCTCGTCCACGCATAGATTACATCGTCGAGGTCTAATGTCGCAGAAAATTGTTACGTTTAACAAATACCGGACCCGATCGATACGTGACTCGGTCCACGCAAACGAAATCAATGACGATCTCGCGTTCGTCAAACGACAGGATATTTTTCGTACTTATAAAACATGCCCGTTGCAACTGCAAACAATGCGCGAAATGGAGCGAGCGAATGCGAACGGATTCTGATTCTTTTTCTCGTATGATGCATTTTCGCGATGTTCATTCGCCACTTTCGAACGGTACTTCCTATGCGCGTACACAGCGAAACTCGATATGCTAATGGCGCGTACTATATTTCGTTTATTAACTTCCTTCCTGCTCTATCATAATTTTCCGTGTTTCCTATATGCCGTTTTGGGTAAAAATTAAAAGCTTTGCCAATTGGAAACGAGCTCGAAAATACAGGGTATCCCAGGAAAAGTGTTACAGCCGAAGAGTATTTAAATAACAATTTCCTTTGCTAAAATGCAAAGTGAGGCAAATTTTTTTCTTCAAAATTTCGAAAAATGCTTCAAATAAAAGTTGTTTTTCTTCTAATTTCGATATTTAATGAGTTACATATGATTATTTGGCATTTTATTGATGTTGACGAAATCCGACCATTCCAGCGT